TGTTGAAGCTGCATGACAAGTACATGAAGACTTTTTTTTTTTTACATGAAGACTTTTTACACTTCTCTGTACTCTTTCATATATATATATATATATACATATATATCTTTTTATTATTATTATTTTATTTAATTTTACATGTTGACACCAGTTCCCTCTCTCTCCTTCCCTCCCTCCCTCCCTTCCTCCATCCCTCTTACCCTCTCTGCCCCCTCACATGCACCCTGACCACCATTCCCTCCCATCCCCACACCCCAATACCACATGTAGGGCAATACCATCCAGGTAGGGTCATGTAAATCTGTCAAGTCATTTGAAATAGGGACTAGGACTTCTCTCCTGTCTCTAGGTTAAGGGAGTATCCCTCCATGGGGGATGTGCCCACAAGGTCCTTTTGTGCATCAGGAATACATCCTGGTTCCACTACCTGAGGTCCCTTAGACTGCTTAGTCCTTCTGGCTGAGACCCATATTCATGGGGGCCCGAGTCAGTCCCATGCTGGCTTCCCAGCTATCAGTCTGGGGGCCTGTTAGCTCCTCTTTGTTCAGGTCAGCTGTCTCTATGTGTCTCTGGTCTTGTCCTCTCCCCCTGCATCTGGGTTCTAGTTCGACTCAGTGTTTAGGTATGGGTGTTTGCTTTTGTTTCCAACAGGTACTAGATGAGGGCTCCATGATGGTGGATAAGTTAGTTGTTGATCTCACTATTCGGGAAGAGTATTTACGGTAGCCTTTCCACGGAAGCTCGAATTGTTAGTTGGTGGCAGTCTTGTAGGTCTCTAGAGCTTTCATTAGGTTCAGTTTTCTCTTCAAACCAATAATGGCTCCCGCTTTTATGTTCTCTCTCTCTCTCTTCTATATTCAATTCCTACCCTGACTCAATCTTCCTAGTCACACATGCTTTCCTCTCCTCCCCTTTTCTTCCTCCTACTTCTCTCTCCATTCACTGCCCCCGCCCCATTTCCCATGTGCTCTGGGGGACTTTTACCTTCCCCCTTCTGTGAGGGACTTTATATGAAACTCTTAGAATACATGTATCCTAGTTTCTCTGGTGGTGTGAATTATAGGCTGGTGATCATTTGATCTAGGTCTAAAATACATATATGAGCAAGTACATACCATGCTCCTCTTTTTTGTGAGTGGGTTACCTCATTCAGGATGGATTCTTCAAGTGCCATACACTTGCCTGTGAATTTCAAGATTCCATTATTTTTTTTTCTGCACAGTAGTATTCCATTGTGTAGATGTGCCGCATCTTCTTTATCCATTCTTCAGTTGAGGGGCATCTAGGTTGCTTCCAGGTTCTTGCTATTACAAATAATGCTGCTATGAACATAGTTGAGCACATGAGCATATGTCTTTGTTGCATGGATGTGAATCATTTGGGTATATGCCTAAAAGGGGGATTGCCAGGTCCTGTGGTAAACTAATTACCATTTTCCTGAGGAACTGCCACACTGATCCCCAAAATGGCTGTATGAGTTTGCACTCCCACCAGCAAGGGAGGAGTGTTCCCCTTTCTCCACATCCTTTCCAACATGAGTCATCATTTGTGTTTCTAATTATAGCCATTCTGGTAGGAGTAAGATGGTATCTCAAAGTTGTTTTGATTTGCATTTCCCTGATAGCTAAGGATATTGAGCACTTAAGTGTCTTTCAGCCTTTTTGATTTCCTCTATTGAGAATTCTTTCTTCAGTTCTGTATCCCATTTTTTAAATAGGGTTATTTGGTGTTTTGTTGACTAGTTTCTTCAGTTCTTTGTATAGTTTGCAGATCAGCCCTTTGTCAGAAGTAGGATTGGTGAAAATCTTTTCCCAGTCTGTGGGCTGCCATTTGGTCTTGTCCACTGTGTACTTTGCCTTACAGAAGATTCTAAGTTTGTTGATCTCAGTATCTGTGCTCCTGTAGTTATGTTCAGGAAGCAGTCTCCTATACCAATTTATTCAAGGGTACCTCCTATTTTGTCTTCTAAGAGATTCAGTATGGCTGGATTGATGTTGAGGTCTTTGATCCATTTTGACTTGAGTTTTGTGCATGGCAACAGACATGGATCTATCTGCAGTCTTCTACGCACCATCTTCCAATTATGCCAGCACCATTTCTTGAAGATGTTTTCCTCACCCCATTGTATTCTTTTAGCTGTTTTGTCTAAAATCAGGTGTTCATAGGTGTGTGGGTTTATATTAGGATTTTCAATTTGATTCCATTTGTCTACCTGTCTATTTTTGTGCTAATTTGTTTTCAGAACTATAGCTCTGTAGTAGAGCTTAAAGTCAGGCATGGTGATGCCTCCTGAAGTTCTTTTATTGTACAGTGTTGTTTTGGCTATCCTGGGTCTTTTGTTTTTCCATATAAAGTTGATTATTTTCCTTTCAAGGTCAGTGAAGAATTGTGCTGGGATTTTAATAGGGATTGCATTGAATCTGTAGATTGCTTTTGGCAAGATTGCCATTTTTACTATATTTATCCTACCTATCCAAGAGCATGGGATATCTTTCCAATTTCTGGTGTCTTCTTTAATTTCTTTCTTTAGAGCCACAAAGTTTTTATTATATAGGTCTTTCACTTGTTTGGTAAGCGTTACCCCAAGATACTTTATGTTGCTTGTGGCTATTGTAAAGGGTGATGTTTCTCTGATTTCTTTCTCTGTCTCTTTGTCTTCTGAAAAAAGTAGGGCTACTGATTTTTTTTTTTTTTAGTTTATCTTGTATCCTGCTAGTTTGGTGAAGGTGTTTATCAGCTATAGGAGCTCCCTGGTAGAGTTTATTGTGTAGCTTATGTAAACTATCATATCGTCTGCAAATATAGACAGTTTGATTTCTTCCTTTCCAATTTGGATCCCCTTGATCTCCTTTTGTTGTCTTATAGCTTTAGCTAGAACTTCAAGTAAAATGGAGAGAGAGGTCAGCCTTGTCTTGTTCCTGATTTTAGAGGAATTGGCTTAAGTTTCTCTCCATTCAGTTTGATGTTGGCAGTTGGTTTGCTGTATATTGCTCTTATTATGTTTAGGTATGTTCCTGTTATCCCTGATCTCTCCAAGACCTTTATCATGAAAGGGTGTTAAATTTTGTAGAAGGCTTTTTCAGCATCTAGTGAGATGATCATATGGTTTTTCTTTTTCAGTTTGTTTATATGGTGGATCACATTGATAGATTTTCATATGTTAAACCATCCCTGCAATCCAGAGCCGAAGCCTACTTGATCATGGTGGATGATTCTCTGATGTATTCTTGAATTCAGTTTGCCAGTATGTTTTTGAGTATTTTTGCATCGATGTTCATCAGGGATATTGGTCTATTGTTTTCTTTCTTAGTTGTGTCTTTGTGAGGCTTGGGTACCAAGGTTATTGTGGCCTCATAAGAAGAGTGTGGTAATGAACCTTCTGTTTCTATTGTGTGGAACAATTTGAGGAGTATTGGTATTAGTTCTTCCTTGAATTTCTGGTAGAATTCTGAACTTTAGCCATCTTGCCCTCGCCTTTTTTTGATTGGAAGGCTTTCGATGACTGCTTCTGTTTCATTGTGGTTTATAGGTCTATTTAAGTTGTTTGTCTGTTCTTGATTTAATTTTGGTAAGTGATTGTTATCCAAAAATTTGTCCATGTACTTTGAATTTTCAATTTTTGTGGAATACAGGTTTTCAAAGTATGACCTGAAAATTGTCTGTGTCTGTTGTTATGTTCCCCTTTTCGTTTCTGATTTTGTTAATTTGCATGTTCTCTCTCTGCTTTTTTGTTAGTTTGGATAAAGTTTTGTCTATCTTGTTGATTTTCTCAAAAAACCAACTCTGTTTCATTGATTTTTTGTATTGTTTTCTTGGTTTCTATTTTGTTGATTTGAGCCCTCAAACTGATTATTTCCTGGTGTCTACTCCTACGGGGTGAGTTTGCTTCTTTTTGTTCTAAGGCTTTCAGTTGTGCTGTTAATTCTCTTATGTTCCTATCCTCTGTTTTCTTCATATGGGCACTTAGTGCAATGAACTTCCCTCATAACACTGCTTTCAAGGTGTCCCATAAGTTCAGGTATGTTGTGTCCTCATTCTTGTTGAATTTTAGAAAGTCCTTAATTTCATTCTTTATTTCTTCTTTGACCCAGGTGTGGTGCAATTGCACATTGTTCAGTTTCCATGATTTTGCAGGTTTTCTGTTATTTGTGTTGTTGAATTCCAATTTTAAAGCATAGTGGTCTGACAAGATACAGAGGACTATTCCAATTATCTTGTATCTGTTGAGGTTTGTTATGCCACCTAGTATGTGGTCGATTTTAGAGAAGGTTCCATGTGGAACAGAGAAGTTATATTCTTTTGTGTTTGGATGGAATGTTCTATAGATGTCTGTTAAACTCAGTTGAGAGATAACTTCTCTTAGTTCTTTTGTGTCTTTGTTGAGTTTCTGATTGGTGGTCTTGTCTAGCATTGAGAGTGGTGTGTTGAAGTCTCCCACTATAAGTGTGTGAAGTCTCCCACTATAAGTGTGTGAGATTTTATGTGAGGTTTGAGGTTTTTTTTTTTTTTGTTTGTTTGTTTTTGTTTTTTTTTTTAACCAAAGAATGCACAAATTTAATGTTTATTCCACCTTTCTGTCATATTCCTGGATCCTTCACCAATGTTACATGCGGAAAAAACAAAAGCAAAACAAATGAAAAACTGAAATCAGAATCGCTAATGTTATCAAGGAGGGAAGCAAATAAATTAAACTCTAGCAGCCATCAGCAAGAGGACAGCAAGAAGAATGCTGGGAAAGGAAATGAGGTTGCTAGAAAACTGTACTCAGACTCTTACCAGCAAAAACACACTCCTGCACGGAGTGGAACAGAAACAGGTCTTTTCCTGCTAAGGTAACAGAAATGCAAGTTCTTTTTTGAATACTGTGGAAAGGCAAATGTGTGTATCATGGTAATTCTAACCAGCTGTTACAGTGTGGGCCAGGAACACATCTGCGAGTTTTGGGGTGACAGATACTGTAATTCTTTGATTGGGATAGTGGGCACACTAGCAAAAATTGGGGGTGGGTAAGAAATGAACACAGAGGTACAAGACAAAGGTGAATGAGACTTCTCTTATATCTTAGCAACAAAAGATGGAATCAAACTTCAGTGCAGTCCACTCTGCTTGGACGAGGCTTTAGTTCAGCTCCCAGTCTCGATTGCGTGACACAGTCTCCTGTGAGAATACTCAGGTGTCTTCTTAAACAACAAACCTATTTTTAGTGGTGGAGCCGCTCTTTGTAGCTATGTCTGCGTGGGACTGGTAACCAATCACTATCTTTGGAGGAAGTCCTAACCTTTCCTTGTATACCCTCCCTATGTGTGTGACTGCGTCTCTGTTTTCACATTCAGTCGTCCATATTGCTATCTTATCACCTTTAGCTCTAACATTAACAACAGCTCCACATACATCATCAGTATAGTCATCAAAAGATTCTCCAATAAGGCACAGCAGTGTCTCTAGCCAAAAGCGATCGAGATCACTTCGTCTCTGCTGTTTGTTCAATGTAATTAGCCATCGTCCTCCCCGTTTATTCTTCTCATCTTCCCACATAGGCTCAATACCATCCTTAAAAAGTGAGTAGTCACAGCCAGGCATTAAATTACTAGACAACTGGATATGGTTGTATAGAGCCCAAAAGTCTTCAACAGTAACAAACTTTGAGATCAATCGAAGGTTTGCTTGCCAAGTTCTGCTTTTATCATTTTTAAAAAACCAGAGTGCCCACCTGTTCTGTAGAGGGTGTTGCTCTGGGTTGGCAACCTCCTGATTAGACTCTGTTTTTTCCTCTTCTGCAGGTGGGGGATTAGTAGTAGGGGTGGTTTCCGGTTCCACAGTCGCCATCTTAGATCGTGAGGTTTGAGTTTTAGTAGTATTTCTTTTAAGAATGTGGGTGCTGTTGTATTTGGGGCATTGATGTTCAGAAGTGAGACTGTGTTGATGGATTTCTTCTGAGATGAATAGGAAATGACCGTCTTCATCTCTTTTGATTAATTTTGGTTTGAAGTCTAACTTGTTAGATATTAGGATAGCCACACCTGCTTGCTTCTTGGGTCCATTTGATTGGAAGATCTTTTCCTAACCCTTTATCCTGAGGTAATGTCTATCTTTGAAGCTTAGATGTGTTTCTTGTATGCAGCAGAAGGATGGATTCTGTCTTCATATCCATTCTGTTAGCCTGTGTCTTTTTATAGGTGAGTTAAGACCATTAGTGTTGAGAGTGAGTAAGTAACGACCATTGATTGTCGATGCTTGTTTGTTTTAGATTTGTTGTTGGCAGTGGTATTGTGAATATATTTGTCCTGCTTTACCCTTGGTTTCTAGTGTAGTGAGATTATCTGTTGCCTATATCTTTGTGAGCTTAGTTAACTTCCTTGGGTTGGAGTTTTCCTTCTGAAACTTTCTGTGGGGCTGGATTTGTAGATACGTATTGTGAAAATCTGGCTTTGTCATTAAATATCTTGTTTTCTCCATCTATAGTGATTGAGAGTTTTGCTGGGTATTGTAGCCTGGGCTGGCATCCATGGACTCTTAGTACGTGAAGAGCATCTATCCAGGACCTTCTGGCCTTGAGGGTTTCCATGGAGAAGTCAGGTGTAATTTTGATAGGTCTGCCTTTATATGTTACCAGTCCTTAATCCTTTACTTCTCTTAATATTCTTTCTTTATTCTGTATGTTAGGTGTTTTGATTATTATATGGCGAGGGGTCTTTTTTCTTTAGTCCAGCTATTTGGTGTTCGGTATGCTTCTTGTACTTTCATGGGCATGTCCTTCTTCAGATTGGGAAAGTTTTCCTCGATGATTTTGTTGAATAAGTTTTAGGCACCTTTGACCTGGGCTTCCTCACCTTCCTCTATGCCTATTATTCTTAGGTTTGGCCTTTTCACGGTGTACCACATTTCCTGGGACTTTTTGTGTTAAGAATTTGTTGGATTTATGATTTTCTTTGGTCGATGAATCTATTTCCTCTAGTTTATCCTCCGTGCCTGAGATTCTCTCTTCCATCTCTTGAATTCTGTTGGTTATGCTTGTGTCTGCAGTTCCTGATTTTTTGCCCAGGTTTTCTATTTCCAGCATTCCTTTGGTTTGTGTTGTCTTCATTTTCCCTATTTCAGTTTTCAAGTCCTGAACCATTTCCTTTACCTGTTTAATTGTTTTTTCTTGGCTTTCTGTAATTTCTTTACTTTCCTGAAGAAATTTGTTCATTTCTTCCACTTTTTTTGTTTGATTGTTTTTCCATTTCTTTAAGGGATTTTCTCACATCTTCTTTGAGGGCCTCTATCATTTTTATGACGATAATTTTTAAGTCATTCCCTTCTGCTTCATCTGCTTTATTGTGTTCTAGTCTAGTTGGTGTAGATTCCCTAGATTCTGGTGGTGTCATGCTTGTCTTTCTGTTGTTGTTCTTGTATTGGTGTCTTCCCATAGCTTCTTCCAGTAGGTGTTGGTGGGGTCTCTCCCTCTCTCTAGGTGGGTCAGAGGTTCGATGGCTGTAGCTTTAGGTGGATCAAGCTCTCTAGGAGTATCTCCACAGGCAGGCGCCCGGCGATGGGGGTCAGCGATCAGGCTCCAGCAGAAGACTGGCGATGGGGGTCAAAGATCCGGAAGGCTGGGACTCAGGATGTTCCTTGTGCCTATAGGCAGATCTAGTCTGGGTCTGGCACTCTCCTGCTGAGGCCTCTTTAACAGAGTCCCTGCGATGGGGGTCAAGGATCCTGCCACAGGAACTCAGAATGGTCCTGCAGAGATAGGTGGATCTTTGGGAGGGGCCCGGAACTCCAGTAGATGACCAGCGGTGGGAGTCAGAGACTAGACAGATGGAAATTATGGGTGTTCCCCTGTGGATAGGCAGGTCTCATGTGTTCAGAGCCACTCCCAGAAGTCTACATTTATCTTTTATATGCATATGTACATATGTATATATCTTATACATATATGTCTTACGTTCTCCATAATGAAATGTTTTGAAAGGTAAGACAATTTAATAAAGACTTATGTTAAAGAAAACTAACTGAAAGCTGTCACCAGTTGGTGACATCCATGCTCAAGGAGAGCACAAGAAATGCCCCCCCCAACACACACACACACTAGGCAATAAGAAGCCCCTTCTAAAGTGCCCCAGCATCTGGGCCTTGTGCATTTGGGCCATACTTATTACTATGTGAGCATGGCCATACATCCTCTCAAGAATGTTTGCTAAAACAGCTAAAACAGGCCATGCCTACCTGGGCACCATGTTTCAGTGATTGGTTTATGATGGCTGGCCTTGTGTCTGAGCAGTAAGCCTCTCACATGTATCACTTATTTCTGCATTCATCTGACAGAATGCTTATGGTAGATTGCTAAGCAAGCATCCATGGAACTAGCCTACAAACCCACTTTTCTTCATTCCTCTGAAGCCCCTGAAAGACTGCCACTTCTCAAACGGTTAGGTGACTGGGCAGGGAATGAATGGGTACCTTTCTTCTTTAATAAATGTCTTGCACTAGTGTTGGGCCCAGTTGACAAGTTCAAACATACCTGAAAGGGGGAATCAGAACTAAAAAAAAGAAGACACAAGAGACAGAAGATAGAGTCAGATGGACTCAGTGAATACTGTAGATACACCAAGTTTATTACTCATCCCCCTTATATACCCCAGGCAAAAGGGTGGGCAAAAGATTTCCTTACCACCATACAAGGAACAAACAAATATAATTACCCCTCTCCCTAATGCCCAAAACATCCAGTCACCATACCTTAAGTCAAACATCTTGTAATTTGGTCCTGAGGGTCAAGACAAGCAGTAGCCACACCTTAGGCCTAACCTCCTGTCCTTTAAATTTGAGGAACAAAAATAGGTTTAAACTCTCTGACCTAAAGTCAAGAAGGACTGAGTCAATAATAATGGGCTCTGACACACTGGTGAGCAAAGTGGTAATAGTGGGGACCGGAAACTATGGAGATGGAGATGGAAAGCCCAGATCTGATCACAAACTAAATAAGTATAAACTGTAACAAAGTTTCATTTGTTAATACAGAAGATTCCCTTCTCTAGGTTTGCCCTCAAGTTCTCTGGTAAGTCAAATTGTCCTTTCCCATCAGTAAAGTGATATAATTTAAATTTATTTTTTCAACAGTCCGTCTACTACTCCTGGACATTTATTTTTCTTGCCCCCTACTTGACCTTGGTACTCACATGTACCTCTTTAGTTAATAGGCCTATGACCCTTGTCCAACTTTAGGGAATGTGAAGTTGTAGCTAAGTGTTACCTTTACTCCTGTAACCATTTCTTGTCTTAAAAAGATCATTTTTTGATGACTACTTCCAATGCCATCCTAGAGCCTTCATCCAGGAGTTGATGGAAACAGAAGCAGAGATTCACAACTAAGCACTGAGCCAAACTCTTGGAATCCAGTTTCTGAGGGGGAGGAGTGACCAACAAAGGGGTGAAGACCATGCTGGGAAAACCCACAGAAACAGCTGACCTGAGCAAGTGGGAGCTCATAGACCTCAATCTGACAGCTAGGGAACTCACACAGTACCAAACCAGGCCCCCTGAACATGGGTGTCAGCTAGGAGGACTGGGCAATCTTTGGGTCCTCTGGCAGTGGAACCAGGATGTATCCCCAGTGCACTAATGGACTTTGGGAGCCCATTCTCCATGGGGTTATACTCTCTCAGCTTAGACTGAGGTTATACTCTCTCAGCAGGAGGGCCTAGGCCTTGTCTGGAATGACTTGACAGACATTGATGATCCCTCATGGAAGGTCTTACCCTCCCTGGGGAGTGGATGGTGGGTGTGATGGGGGGATTGGAGGGGAGCATGGGAGGATGAGAGGGAACTGGGATTGACATGTAAAATAAGATTGTTTCTAATTTAAATAAAAGTTATTAATAACAAAAAAGAGGAAAAAAGTAAAGATCATTTTTTCACTTTCCCCATGGTGATAATTATCTGTGTAAATGTCCCTTCCCCAGGAATTGCTTGGAACACTCTCTGGGGGGGGGCAGATATTACACCCAAGGCCAGGCTGAATATCTCATCATGCATGATATAGTCTTATACTATAGGGACTCAAACAAACAAAACTATTGATATATAGGTTTCACTGATTACAATTTTTCAGCAAGTTACTTGCTGGTTGAGGCATAGGCACTCCCTGGGATGTTTTTATTTCCTTTATTTATCAAACTATTTGCTGTAGTATAGTTAGTGGAAATAAGGTAACTATCCCCAACAGAACAAAGAAACTCAAGCAGAGGTAGAAAATGTCTCTCGGGAGGAGTGTAGGAAATAGTACAGAGAGTGAGCACACTTGGGAGGCATTCTTAGAAGCTGTGGTGAACAATTCCTCGCCATTCAGGTTGTCTTCAGGTTTCTGAAGCTGCAGAGCTATTTGCTTCTGCTGAGTAACTGGAGACACAGCAGCTGCTGGCTGGGGGAGATTAGTGTTTTCAGTTGCTTTTACAATTCCAGGCTTCCTCCTAGCCATGTCTTTTCTCCTCTTTCTCTCTGCACCCATTCTTTCTTCTCTTTAGTTCCCCTCTCCTCTCAGCTCCTTCACTCCTTCATGCTTATGGCCTCCTCCCCCCACCACTTCTCCTCATCAAACCTTAGCTGGGATCTAGTCCCCAGGTGGGATCAATCACCCGAAGAGCAGGAAGAGAGACTCAACTGTAGATGACAGTTCTGTTGATGTGTCATAGAAAACATGGTACTGGTGACAAGGGGGTATTCAGGAGAAATCTGTCATCAGAAACAAAGAAGAGTTGCCCCTGAAGGTGGCCAAGACATCACCATGCAAGGGCACGCACATAGTGGGTAGATCTGGAGAGGATACACCTGAATGTCTGTAAGGGAATC